AAGTGCCACAAAGCAGCAGGAGCGGATGGGATAGTCAACGAGTTCATGAAGTTTGGGGGGAAGGGGATGATCCAGCTGATGGTACTGCTATACAGTTGGGTGTGGAGACACGAGTATACGCCAACTAGATGGAGGGAAGGAGTGGTTGTGAACTTGTTTAAGAAAGGAGACAAGACTGACCCAGGAAACTACAGGGGGATCACACTGTTGAACACAGTAGGAAAAGTGTTCTGTAAGCTGCTGAACGATAGGATAGTGGGAGTATTGGAGAAGGAACATAGCATTAGTGAGGGCCAGGCAGGTTTCCGCAAGAAGAGGGGGTGCGTAGACCACGTATTCACGGTAGGGAGAATCATCCAAGGTAGAAAGAGGGCGGGAAAGCCGACGTACTGCTTCTTCCTGGACGTGAAAAAGGCATACGACACCGTATGGAGAAATGGGCTGTGGAAACAGCTGTCCAAACACGGGATCAAGGGGAAAACGTGGAGAGTGTTGAAGAAGATGACAGTGTACGAAAAGCGCAGTCATGCTAGACGGAGAACTGTCNGAGGTGCGTAGACCACGTATAAACGGCAGGGAGAATCATCCAAGGTAGAAAGAGGGCGGGAAAGCCGACGTACTGCTTCTTCCTGGACGTGAAAAAGGCATACGACACCGTATGGAGAAATGGGTTGTGGAAACAACTGTCCAAATACGGGATCAAGGGGAAAATGTGGAGAGTGCTGAAGAAGATGACAGAGTGTACGAAAAGCGCGGTCATGCTAGACGGAGAACTGTCAAAATTCTTCGACATTGAGCAGGGGGTCCCACAAGGTTGCACGCTGTCCCCAACATTGTTCCAGGTGTTCATCAACGATCTGTTGGAAGTCGTAGAGGCAGTCCGGAAGGGAGTAAAAGTAGGGGACACGGAAACGTCGGTTTCAGGAATGCTGTTTGCGGATGATTTTGTCGGTATGTCGGACACCCCTGAGGGACTGCAACTGCAAATTGACGCGGCGAAGAAGTTTACTGATAAATGGATATTGTCTGCCAACGTTAACAAGAGTGCTGTTAGATATACTCGTAGCATAGTATGATGGTTGAATACGGGGCAGGGATCTACGGAGATTGTCATTGGTAGATTGTGGAAAAATAGGAATTTGTGCTTGGTTTCTTCGGAGATTTGATGAGTGGTCTGAATTGCGTGATGGATAGGTGCGGTGACGCACTCTGCTTTCGCTCTGCTTTCGCTCCTCTTGCGCT